AATCAATTGCACCCCTTTAATGTGGTTTCTGAAAAACTACTGTATAAATGGGGTCCTGTGATACTTCCAAAAGTTAATGCAAACAATACATGCACCCTTTCTGCTCAGTATTAACTGTAAGAACTAAAATATATTTGTGTACTTCTTAAGAATTGCAGTCTCTTCTCTTTACAGCTATTATTTCCTCACATACCTTCTGCAAACCTTTAGATGTAAAAATTGTTTAAATACTTAATTGTACATTTTAAAAGGAGGGTTGGACTCATTCAATCAATGGATTAAAATGTCATTGTAGGAATGTAAAGTGTATTTTGTGATGGTATTATTGAGGCTAGCAACACCTACCAACTCTAGAGAGAGCTTAAGGAAATATGATATTCATTCAGGTATCTTCAAAATATTGCATCTAATGATTCGAACTGGCCAAGTCACAGCTAGCCCCAAAGGTCTATAACTTCCAGAATTCCAGGGCAAAGATCATCTTCATGTGCTCTGTTGTAGCACTGATTGTTAACTAGGGTTTGCTTGTAACCAGGACTTTGAGACCAAATTTATCAGTGTGAATGTCAAACACTAGCAAATGTGAACTGTGATTAAGATCCATGCTAATACACCCACAGTTAAGGCATAAAAATAAATTGCATGAAGGAGGAGATGGCCACCTCAGTTAGGGGGGATCATTATGTCTGCACATGCTTCCACGGTCCTCGGTCTTTGATAGTCTTCCTGGCATATATAAGGCTGCCTTCAAAATTTACCATCGTGCTCCCCAAAGTAATTGCAGAATTAAACTGAATGCCATAAGGAGAGCTGTCTTTTAAAAAAGATCAGGGAGGCCTGAAATGCCTAATTAGAGTGTTTAGTATAACCTGATTCTGCAGTTTTTGAAAACAACATTGCTCTCTCCCCAGAGATAGCATTGTGCACAGGACCAAGAAGACAGCAGGAAAATATTCCTAATGATCATTACTGAGCAGCATGCAGTCGTCTACTTTATATCCTTCTTGTATCTTCAAGATCAAATATATTCATCTTTGCATTTATTACAAAGATTCTGTAATTTGTGTCTGCAGCTTGTTCTTTCTGCATGCTAAGAAACAGCACTATTTTAAGGATACTCTTTAATAATACAGCACAATGGGTTGTAGCTATAATGTCTTGTCTGATATATTGTGAACAAGACTAAGTACTTCCAGCCATTAATGACATCTATTAGATACCACTGTGACTCTTCAGAAAATACTTGCATTGTCTGCTAAATGTAGGGGGGAGGACAAAATGGCTCTTAAAACTGGTCTGTTTATTACAAAACATGATGAGAATAAGCCCAGTTCCCTGTTTTTGTGGCAACAAAAGTAACAGCCTGCTGATTACTCTCACAACTAATCCTATATTCGTGCTGAAGGGGTTCCTAATCATTTTCAGCACCAAACTGTGAGTGAACAACAACACAGTTGTGGATACTGAAAAATTCAAATAAGTAATGCATCTTCTGCTGCCATTTTGACAGTTGATGACAGCATTTTGTCATGGAAGCATTGCATTTAACATGCATGCAACTCTGCAGGAATATAGCTGATTAAAATTATTCAGAGGTAGCATAAGTAAAACTGCCTAGGAATGTCACGCTGTATTGCATGATTGGCAGTAATTGTTGACCATTTTCTGCACTATATTGTTGGGTGAATTGGAGAATTATGGACACAATCCCTACAAGGTTAAGCAAACCTACAGAGTAGTTGATTTTTTTCACCAAGGCCTTTTTCACACGTGAAAGACACATCATATCTCCATAAATCTCCATACATAGATTTTACCTATGAGCACAAGTTGGTTTTTTAATTTTATATTTAATGGATGTCTTTCTAATATAATCCATATATAGTATTTACCCAAATGGAAGACTAGGGCTTTTTCCCCAGGTGCATCAACAACAACAAGAACAACAACGCAAAGGCGGGGGTCATCTTACATTCTCATAAAAGTTATGATTGTATCCAGTAATAATTTGAGTGTGTATACAATTGCGGGGGGGGGGGTCATCTTATATTCAGGGTTGTTTTCCTACAGAGTAAAGATTATTGCTTCTCACATTACATATTTTCTTTTCTGTGGACATGAGAAAAGCAAAGATTTGAAAAATATAGTATGTGCTTTGGTCTCAAGGGTGCTGATAACAGCAGGAACAGGATTTCTCAGTCATCACTGATTCAACTCCAGGTCATTCATAAATGCAGTATTTGGTTGAGGGTTTATTTATTTGGTGTGGTGACTCCCTTAAATAAATGGGAATTCATTTCTCTGGGTATTACACTGGTTTTCAGGAGGTGTTAGAAATATTTTCCCCCAAATCCATTATTTCAAGCAAGGTACTAGATATTCCACTGAACAGAAAATAACAGCTGCCCTTGCTTCTTATTGCAGCAAGAGAAGCTAGGGGACATCTGCTTCTCTCTCCGCTATGTGCCTACTGCTGGCAAGCTGACTGTTGTCATCTTGGAAGCGAAGAATCTGAAGAAGATGGACGTGGGAGGCTTATCAGGTAGGTTGATGGCAGCAAGCAGATAGCAATGACTGTGCTAGTCATGATTTTTTCATTAACAGGTCTCTCACCCCTAGAAAATGTAGATTGCTGCTCATATGCAGGATATTGTTATTCACATTCACTAGGTATGGAGACTATCTCTATGTAATAGATTTGAAAGGGGAAGGTTCAGATATGTAGTCCTTCATTCTGCCCTGGCCCCTCACCTTGCCTATGAGGAGGACACAGAATCAGACCAGCCAGTAGAAACAGAACAGGAAGCTTCTTTCTTCCATCTCTGTACTTTTAAATTCCATACACAGGAGTTGTTGCTTAATGGGAAGTTCAAAATATAGGAACTTTTTCATAAATGCAGCAGTTAGGAAAACCTGCAAACTTGAATTGTTTTGTACGCTGCTATGCTTTCGAATATACTTAAACATGATACAGTTTCATTACAATTAATGTGAGTAAATTCCAGTTTGTTATACAGAATTATTGCTATGCATCTAAGAATCTAAGAAATTATAAATGGAACAGTGATCCTTCATATATTTTGTAGAAAACTATAAAAGCACTTTCTTCGGATAATGTTGTTTTGTCCAATAAAAAGTTGAATCTTTTACTTCCTTCTGATTCTTCAGCCAGAATCAAAACCGAGGGTCATTTTTTTCATGATGTTTCAGACATGATGTTTCATCATGCTACTGTACCTGAATGAGAATATATTTGCATGATAGGCGTTCAGCTTGTGAAAATTAACATAAAAGTGGAGTCTTAGGTATTGCCAGGAGGGGGAAATTCTTCACTGTTTTCCCACATTAACTCTCTTTGAATGTTAATGATATGTCCATTAAAGAAGTATAAACACTTGTGAATCACAACATGGCAACTGAAGTTAAACATGGGTAAGTGTGAGGTGATGCAACTGGAACAAAAAATCCTAACTTTAAATATACGCTGATAGGTCTGAACTGGCTGAGGCTGAGAGGGAAATGATTTGGGGGTTGTTCTGGATAGCTCAATGAAAATGTCAACCCAGTGAGCTGCATCAGTGAAAAGGTCAACCCCCATGCTAGGGATTATTTTAAAAGGACTTGAAAATAAAATGGCCAATATTGTGATGCTCTAGTATAGGTCTACGGTGCAGCCTTGTTTGGAATACTGTGAACAGTTCTGGTGACGATATCTCAGAAAGGGTATTGTAGAGCTGGAAAAAGAACAGAAGAAGGCAACCAATGTGATTGGAGCACCTTTCCTGTGAGAGAAGGCTGAAGCTTCTGGGACTTTTCAGTTTAGAAAAAAAGATGAATGAGTAGGGACATGACAGAGGTTTATAAAATTATGCACGGGGTAAAGAAAGTGCATATGGATAACATACTCCCTCTCCCATAATTCGAGCATTTTGCTACATCCAGTGAAGTTGATGGGCAATAGATTCAGAACAGATGACAGGAAATACATCTTTACCCACTGAATAATTAAATTTGGATTCACTGTCCCTGGATGTAGTGATGACCACAAGCATAAATGGCTTTAAAAGGGGGTTATTCAGATTCATGGAAGATAGGTCCATCAGCTCCTAGCCATGTTGAGTAAAGAAAACCTCCACTCAGAGGCAATAAACCTTTGAAAACTAGTGCTAGGAAGCAACATCAGCAGTGATCTTGGCCTCTATGTCCTGTTTCTTGACCCTCCTGGACAACTGGTTGGGTGCTATGTTAAACAAGTTGCTAAATTAGATGGACCACTGATCTAATCCAGCAGGGTTTATTTTATGCTTGTAGTCTCTACATACACAGACTGTCAGGATCTGAGTGGGTCAAGAATTGAACAGTATTTAAATAATTATGGAGTGGAAAAAAAAGAGGGATAGCTATCCCTTCATTTTTTGAACTCTAGAGACTAATGTATGCATTGCATTAAATGGATCTATGAAGCTATGCTTGAGGTACCAGGTGTTTGTTCCTTCTTTTCCTTTTCTTACCCTTCTTTTTTTCTTGTGAGGTCTCCGAGGTTGTATCCCTGCATGGTACCTTCTTCTCCTTGTTTCCTTTCCCTAAGGAGATTTTAGTAGACGCCAATTATGTGTTACTTCCTTTTATAGTGAATTTGAGGCTGTGTTGAGAGCTGAATAAAGGCAACATCATCCCAATATCTATCAAGATCATTTTATTGGAGCAAGATACAAAGCTTGTTCTTACTTTGCTCAGCATGTTACCTTCTTATATGATTATCCTTGGAACTTCTGAGGAAAGCAATAACACGAAAAAAAGATTTCATTGGGTCTGCATGTTCTTTTAGAGAAAGTGAAAGTTGAGGGCAAAGGAAGGTGAGTATAGAGTATGCAATAAAATTGGAGGGAGAGGAAAATGGAGAGGAGGAATGTCAATTAGTAGGAAAATAAGTGGTAAAGATAAATAGTCAATGATAAGTGCCTGGGTACAGTTTGACGCCCTCCTCCCTCTCTAATGTGTTCAAGTCCATTAAACAGATGCACGTTAGATCTTCTTATTACTTGAAATTGTTCCTGAACAGGGAGGCCACTCTGGGGCAAATCGATGCATGACTTAGTTCAGGCCTCGTTTTCTCATTACAGGTATGCTTTCATTCAATATATGTATTCAGTATTGTTCCCTGCCACCACCATTGATACAACAGCAGACCATTTATGCCTCCTTTTGGCGGGGGGAGTATGTCTAGAAGTATTCTGGACAGCATAGATTAGATCTGGAACCAAGATTTTGGGACCAAGGCAAGATACCTTCCAATGCTCCCCCCACAGTTTGCCTCCATTAACTATGCTGTGCATGCTTGCACACATTCTACTTTGTCAAGGAAGTGAGTGGAATCTGACTTTTACATGATCCTTGAATTCCTATTGGTGCCAGCATAGTTAAACAAACATGAAAGAGTAGCATTGTGCTCCCTCCAGTTTCTTTCTCTCAACAAAGCAGCAATTAAAGACCCCTGAGATGTCACATGGTAGCAAGGGGGAATGGGCTTAGAGGGGGCAGTTCTCTAGAGGACCCATTTTTTCTTATTGCTCAAAGGGAAAGCAAAACACATGGTGTAGAAACAAGGAATAAAGGCCCAGAAGGGCTCTGTTCTTGCTCCTGCCCAAAGAGGAGGAGTGGTGAGGAGGTGGCCAGTGCTGGGACCAGGCAGTTTAGCATAGGTGAGGCCTTGGGCCCTTGGGAGCAGCTCAGGAGTACTGGCTCCTGGTGTCATCACTAGCCTAAATCGGGTATGGCTGGAAGGCACATTATACAGCGACATTGCTGGGTCTGGTCATTGCATTTATGGTTATGCAGTGTTGAGTTCCATGATGGATGAAAGTATCTTAATATAATAAATAAATACAATAACAATATGGAGTTTTGTGAGGCATTACAGAGGTGGGTATGGGCAGAGAGACAGGTTATGCTAGTGGTGCATTCCATGTAAGATACTATATTGTACTGGCAAAGTGTTTAGGGCATGACCTGATTGGATATGTGCAGTGAATTCTGGTTTATCTGTTTGTTTGTTTTCATCTGGCTCCTTTTCACTAACTTTCTGTCAGTTTTCTGCTTTTGTGGATTTTGAAATATACAACAGTTTTATGGACATGGAAAGGGTACCTTCTTGGTCCATGTGACTGCTAGTCTTGTACAGTCCTTAATGAAGTCCTCGTGGCTTGATGTCTGGATATCTGTGGTCATTAACTGTTTGGTAAGGAATTTCAGATACTGTCTATATGAGCATGAGAGACAGTGCATGTACTCTGAAAAAAAAATTGTAAGAGCATTTTTGGTGAGATTTTGGAAATGCAACTGACTCCAGGTCCATTGCCTATAACATCATACCACCAAACCTTCCTTACCTCCCTCTGGCATCAAGCCACTTTGTAAGCCACTTTGGGTCCCCACCAATGTTCCCTCTAAGCTGTGGAGCCTTGTGAGCAAAACTTATACTTTGTGAGCTACTGGCATCAAAGTTGTGAGCAAGCCATTTGGCTGCTGCATAAATTTGTTTGCAGTGGAGCCTTCCTTCCTGAGCAAAGACAAAAATGTGTGAGCTGGAGGCTAAAAAACTGTGAGCTAGCTCACACTAACTCAGCTTAGAGGGAACACTGGTCCCCACTGGCAAGAAAGGTGGGATAGAAATAAAGCAAACAGATGTATAAATAAGCCATTTTTCATTCAAGTATCAGCAGAAAGTTACCAGAGTGGCAGTGGGAAGTGACAGTCTATAAAAAGGGCAATTTCCAGGAGCTAAAGGTGCTTTCTGATATTAAGCAAAAAAAGGGAAAACAGAAACTGTGAGTCGTGCTCCTTCTTTTCATACCTTATGAAACAAGAACTTGCACATCTCCTCTCCCATGCCTATTGAACACATGTATATTATTGCATAGGCGATCCCATCTTGGGCAGGAAGTGCTAAAAGTAGAAGCATGACTTATTCACCATATCTCACTACCCACTTCCTATCTACCTTCTCTCGAGTGGTAAAGCCATCCCTGAGTAGCATATTATTTTGTACTGTTATGGATCCCAAGTGTAGCCCCAAACTGGAGATCTTTCTGTATCAACAAATGTGAAAGAATGGCACCTTTCTGAAATATTCATGTAGAGAAGTGGTAGGTGTAAAAATGGAAGAATTTGGCAGTAGCCCATTAATTTTTCTTCTACATCTATTTTCTTTTTTGTTTCCTCTCAAAACCAAAATAGATTTTCAGTTTTTCCAACTGAAACGTTGTATGCCATAGTGGCGGTGGGGGTTCAATGTGAAACTACACTAAATGTTACCCACATAATTGGCAGCACTTACTGTCACCTTAGGAGCCCATTATCAGAAAAGCAACATAATATAGCCGTATTTGTATGAAAGAGAAAAAGAATGAGAAATGCAAATTTAAAATCAATCTGCTGTTTCTGGAAAATTATGAAAAAGAGGAAAAGAAAGGCAGAAAAATAAGCGTGAATATGGTTGGGAATGCAGCTTGGCCTTGATCCTTGCTTGCCCAATGGAGACTA